GACGTACCATTATTTAAAATTTTATTGATTTTAAATACAAAATGATAGATTTTTTGAAACATTAATTAAATTAGCTTAAAATTAAGATATATACATTTTATTTTTAACGATACTTCTTGCATTGTTTTAAAATAAATATTATTTTGTAATCAATGAAATGAAATTTTAAATCTTTAAATCTATTAATTAAAAAAAATATTGGGTTATAGAAATCATCTTGATTTAAGAAAATTATTGCCTTATTTATTTATTTATTTTATAAATTATATATTCTTGCTTTTAAACAAACAAAGTTTTATTTAAAGAAATTTAATTTTCTTACATTAGGAAAAGATTCTTGAAGTAAATCACCGTGAATTAAGAAAATACTTTACTATTTTAAAGAATATATTCTCTTCGTTATATATGAGACAAATCAAATAAATTTATTTGATATAAGAATATTCTTTTTTCAGTGCAATTACATAAAATAATGTAGAGCGAATATTTAACAATATTTTTTTCTCCACTCAATTGTGGACTAGGTACCCTAATAAATGGTCAGATCAACATTTTTTTTATTTTCTCATAAGAAAAATAACGAATTATTTAGCAAATATAAAAGTCAAAAGTTTGTGGAAATATACGATGTTGTTTTTCACTGTCAAGTTCTTGACCTTGGTGGGATCAAAATAAAATCCCTAAGTATGATTTATTAGTTCGTCTCACATACATATTCAGTTAGGCTTCAAGAGCCGAGCAAATGTACAATGTGTAATCGATTAGCGGCTCTTTATTTAATGGAAAACCGCAAAAAAATTCAAAATTGATTGATTCTTGAAATACGATTTACTCTGACGTCACTTTACAGATTATTGTTTTAATTTTTAGATATTTATATTGCAAAACCTGTTAAAGATTATTTCAAATCTTAGAGAGAAGCATCAATAGCATTATTGAACTAAGGTAAACTAGACAGTTATCGGACAATTAACAATAATAATATACTGTAAAAACAAGAGTTCTATAAATAGTTAACTTAAAGTCAAATCATTAGATGCCCAGCTAACAAAATTGATTATGTACACTGAAAGAAATTTGTTGCTAAAAGTAAATACAAATTTATACTAAAAATTTTATACTAGTGCTTTACACATTTATACTACTGTTTATTATGAATGTATGGTAAATTTTGTAATACATTTATTGTAAAGAAGATATGTTAGATCTAAATAAAAATAAACTTACCCTTACTATAAAATGTAAACTATAAGTGAATTACAGCAAAAAAATATTGCTAGAAACACCATTTATATTGCTAGGGCAGCAATAGGCTGCTAACCAAACGAATATATTTGTTTTAGCAATGTATGTGGTAGTCTATATATGAAACATAAAATATATTTGCCCTAATTATTTTTTTATTTAACTTTAGTATATATTTCTTTCAGTGTAAGTGTTGTTAGAACTGCTATACAACACATATTATAGAAACGCTAAAATTGTATAATGCGTTTAAAAACTACTATACAACACTTACTCAACCAAAAAGGGCCCCGTTTTATAAAACAGTTTACTTCGTTAGCAGTTATATAAATACACCACAACCCTTATAAAACTCAGTATCAGTATACTGGGGAACTGCTATACGATTATACTATAGCGGTTTTACTCTGCAGCTTAATTGCACTTTACGAATATTTATAGAATATTAAAACAAGCATTTTATAAGTATGTTATAATGCGACAGAATCGTTATAAGAACATCAATTTGTTTCCTTCTCTAGAAATTAGGAATGGAGTGGAAAATTTTTATCCTAAGACTATTTTATAATGCGAATTATGTTGGATGTCAAACGGCTAAGATCCAAAATGGTGCTTGTTGTTTATTATGTAAATATAATTATTAAACCTTTGAGATTTACGCTATCGAGGACAACATCTTCCTGCGGAGCAATCTTTTCTGACAATATATGTATATATTTTTAACAAAAAATTAAAGCGCCAGTTAACAAACATACCTACTAAAAATTACTACTTATTGTGTAGTGTGTTTACTTCTGCTTAAAAAAACAATTTTTTAATGTATCTTATAGAGCTTCAATACAACTTTTATACAAATTCTATTACAACTATCATAAAACGTTGAAACTACAAGTATAAGAATAGGTATACAACTCTATTATAACTTTTATACAACTCTTTTAAAATAATTTTATAAGGGATTGTATAAAACGTTATACAATGGTTAAAAAATGTGTATGAGTTTGGTTCTATAACACGAGTTGTAAGAATATATATACAATAATGTATTAGAATTTCGTCGTTTTTACGATAAAATTATTGTATTAAGACGCATTAAACAATAAAAATGTTCTATTTGCAGCTCTAGACGATAGTTATAAAACAATTCAGTTCTTTAAGGGATTTATTTTGCTAGTTGGGTGACGCTGTATACAATTATAAATATCTCATTCTGTAATAATATAGAACTACTTTATTTTGGGTCCAATATAAAAAAGTTCGCACGTTACTTTGGTGGTAAGATTGTTGTTTTTTTTGTTAAGAGCAGGGCTGTGTTTAAATTACAATAAAAAATATTTCTAAAAAGTGTACAGATCAGTGTGTGGTATAAATGTGTTCCTCATGGTTTAAACATTGTCACTTTAATGCGTTTTAATTTTAATTCCAAAAACAAACAGTAAAATGGCCAGTGTCCAATTACTGGTTGGTAAAAAATGTAAATTTCTATTATTGGACATATGTCCAATATCATACTTTATTTGTATCCCGGACATTTACCAACCAATTCTTATGTAAAATTGTCCCCTGAATCCGAAAAGACTGTCAAAAACTATAAAAGTTAAGCAGTTTTTGAGATCAATTCCGTATTATATGTAAAATTGATTATATTTCAAAAACTGTTCTACTTTTGACGACATTTTCGGATTCAGCGAATAATATTTCATAGGAATTGACTGCTAAATGTCCTGGATACAAATTGCTGTTGACGAGAATTATTAGAGACATTTATGACATTTTTGACTAATTTAGAGAATAAGTAATATAGTGATTTCTTCGTCACAGGACATCTTGCAGAATAACAGTGATTTAAATACAGTGCATGATAGAGAACATAAAAAACTAATGGCAACAAAATTAATAAATTCACCACACACAATCATCCTGTTCCGGCCTAATCATTATAAATGCTTCAGAAGTCAGACCAAGTAATTAGTAGTAACCTTCAGAATCCAGAAAAGGGATGAGGAATCCCAGAAGGAAATATATGAATTATATGATATTTACAAAAACGAAATAAAAAATTACCTAAAACAACAATTTATCTTTAAAAATTATTTAACAATTTATGTTATTTGATGTAAAGTTCTTATGTTTATATAAAAATTGTAGGGGAAGGTGGGGGAATTCTGCGCATCTAAGCAAAATCTCTAGTATCTTTGTTAAGTTTAAATGTGAAATTTTGCAATTAATACCAGCGATAGTCTACTATGTTTACTATGTGTATATAATGCGCAATTTATAAAAAAAATTTGTTTGGTATGCAAAAACTACATTTTTTTAAATAATGCATTTGCGCAAAATTACCCACCTATCAGGGTAATTTTGCGCATCATAGGGGGAAAATTTGCGCTGTATAGAGAAAGATTTGTAGGTATCTAAATAAACCGTTCTATAATATTATTATATTAAAACATAAAAATAAAAAAAACTATTTTCTCTATGAAACAAACAAAACAAACAAAATCAAAAATAAATAACTAAAAATAAAATTTTTGTTCTTAGAAATAAGAGGGTCTACATGCAGCAGTTGTCACATATTTAGTTTTAGGGGTTGTTTTTTTCGCTACACTCCGCGTGTGCCCAAATGGAACTGTTTATGCTGAACAATCTAGGCTCCTGTACCAAAAGCTCCCATATTGGCCAAATTTTGCAGCGCAAAATTACCCCAATTTTTAAGCGTAAAATTACCCCCATTGCAAGAAAAATGTTGTGATACTAAAAATCATTCCAAAAGTTAACCTGAACAATTTAAACATACACCAGATTACGAGGAAAGATCATATAAAGTTGTGTTATAAACATTTAAGCGATTGGACAGAAATTTAAACTTAACTTGTAGCGGAAACGACATGGAGTTCTTAAACAAACAAACTATCCTTTTATATATTAATAAGAAAAAAACTAAAATCTTTTAAACAACGGCATATAAATTTTAAATAAATAATATTCCTTAAGTGTCCAATAACTATGTGGTTTACCCTGCAAGGTTTGTCAACAATCCATTTAAAGCATACAAATTGAACATAACTTTTAAATAAATAAGTGTTTTTTTCACAAAGAAGGTAAGGGCAGAAATAAGTCTTATTCGACAAATTTTGTTGGCAAAGTTTCAATTGCACAGCTAAATAACGCACGTTATTTGTGTTTCGCGTTGCAAGTAAAAACTGCAAAACTTTTTTTTAGTACTTGATTTTGATTTATTATTCCATATCATTAATTAAGAAACTCAAGGTACAATTTATATTTTTTAGGACTGTATGCTATTTATTTCTTCATTCGGATTTACACTGTTTATTGAGAAACCGGTAAAAACTGAACCCAGGATTTCGAAAAACACTCAACAAAACAAATCGTTCCACGTTTTTCTCTAGAGAGAAAAATACAGAGCTGTATTTTTAACATTTTTTGGCCTTATTCTCAAAAACACTAGTTTGGAACATACGCGTTTGACAAAAAAAAGGCTGACTTTTTTAAATGCTACAATTTTTTCTTATTACCAAATTTGCAATAGAAATATGTATGTATCATTTACATATCTTAGGTTGTATTTTATCAACTTTCAAAATACGAGTGGGTACCTATTTTAAAATCGCCCCTGCAAGCTCGCAACTAGCAATCAGGGCTGGATGCTCCCGTGGACGAGTTTTGGTTCGTGCCGCGCATGACGTCACTTGATGAGTAGTTGCCGTGCGAATACACGATTTATAGTAATATTATCAAAGAAAATAGAGAAATATCTGGACATAGTGCGTTTTTATTAAACTTAATATTAAAGAAAGTTTTAGGTATAATATGGATAATAGATTCTTTCAGTCCTTGATAACATTTAGGACTGTAGTTTAAGAGTTGGTGTTATAGTTATAGTCACTGTCCAGAAAATGTTTAGAGGAAACAGAAGCGGTCTTAACGTTAATATTGTCTACTCTTTTTATGGCATTTAACCACTGTTTGCAAAAATCAAAGTTTTTCGGGAATCGATGAAATTTGTCTTTATTTAAAGGGTTTTTCTTGGACTGGTTGTCCAAATTGCATACAAATATGCCACACCGCATTTTAATAAATGCAAATGGCACGACACAAACTAAAACACAAACAAAACAAGTTAACGCAACACAAAAACAATAATAAATAAACAGAACAGGTAAACACAACGCAATAACAATAATTTGAACACTGAAAAGTAATTAGAACCTCACTGAACGCAAAAACAACAAGTTAAACAAAAAATAGAGCATCCAACAGCATCGCAAAAACAAGAATTTTAGCAGCAGAAAAAAAAGATTTAAAAATACTCAACAAGTGACGTATTTAAGCCCCGCCCAACATGCGCACATACACTTAAGGTGTATGTATCTTGCTAGAAATTGTACCTTTTCATAACAAAAACGGTCATGCGCGGTACAAACGGTCATCAATTATATTTGGACACTGAAACTGTTTGTTCAAAAAAAATTGTTATTTGTGCCATTTAGAGACAACATTTGTTTTACTTTTTTAAAGATTCCTAGTCACAATGGCGCTACTAGCGATGCTTCTATAGCGTATATTTTTTTAAAGGATTTACAATTAAGAAAAATAAATTTAAGTGCTTAATTAACTAATGTTTCGGGAACTTTTAACCGTCACAAAATTGAAATTTAATATCGTAAAAAGTATATTGCGATTTTTTTTCTTTTAAATATTTTAAAACCCTGTACTTTACTTTGATTGATGTTCTTTTAAAACGTTTTTCAATTTTACACCTTTTAAACTAAAGGAATTTAGAGGCAAACAATGTAAGCTTTAACCTTAACCTTGACTTATAAAAGCAGTTAGACACAAAAACAATTTATCTTGAATTTTTGGTACCTACCAGTTAAAAAACATAATTATTTAAATAAATTTTATAATATAATGATAATTAATATTGATATTTTGCTAAAGTGAGATCCACAATGGTATGAAAAATGTATGTATTTGTCTTCTCGATTATTTGCTAGTCTACTAACTTTTTGGCCCAACTTTAGTAATTACTTAAAGCCTCCTTAGGCAAAACTTAGTCTATCATTATTTTGTTCGATGATATAACTGTTGTCAGGGCAGACTTGGCATCATAAACAGTGATGGTTCTACAATGTACACTTGAAAATGTAATTCGATTGCAGATAAAATAGGAAAGCGTGAATTTGTAAAGAGCAGAGTAAACAAAGACGTTAATTACTGAATTAAATAGGTAGTAATGTAATTCCTTTAAAATAATTTAAATAAAAAATTAAACTTTTCTATTTCACACTGTTTCATTTACGCATAAATAAACAAAGTTTATAAAAATATTTTAAAATGAAAAACCTCACATTTAAAAATGTTGCTTTGTGATTTTATAATTAAAACAAACCACAAAAATGAAGAATACATTTTTTATCGGGTCAAGGATTTTTTTAAAAGCCTCAGTAACATTTCCATCCGCAGAAAATCTTTTATCACTGACGTTTAGCCTTTAATTAAAATTTTATTCAGATGAAAAGAAAAATGGTTAAACAGGTTGTAAATGGATTAAAACCTTAACGAAAACCAAGAAAATAATGTTAGTTGAACGTTTTTTTTACATTTACTACAACTAAAAAATTAAATTATTTGTAGGAAATTTAGTCTTCTGCAAGTCAGTCTCTAATATTTATTATTTAAAAAGTTACCTATAGGTAACATATGTATACATAAACTTAAATTTAAAATTTTATAATAAAATAATATTTATAATCATAATGATGTCTCGACTAATTTTATTTGTTACTAGGAAAAATAATAAAAATTTGTAAAACATCCAAAGTTTCAAAGAAAGTATTGATTGATAAAGTTTATGGTAAAATCATATAACAAAATTTATTGAAAGCTATAACTATAGTATTGAGAAGTATAAGTTAATAGATAAACTTTTTATATTTAAGACCGTTGTTATCAGATCGTTAAATTTTAAGTAGGTACCTAAGTTAAATTTTAAAAATCAGCATATTTTGGCTTTGTTAATAGAAGTGAAATTAATATTATTATTCCCGGAGCATTCGCCATTTTTGATGTTTAAAATTTAGGAATTTGTAACATTTGTTTTTTAAAAATAATAACTAAAAATAATATAAACATTAATAATTAATTAATAATAAAACTTTCTTATATGTAAACATTGTATAGTATAAGGATCACTAATAAACGAACTAAAGCAAGTAAATTGTGTAATAAACAAGAAACAAAAAACCTACAAGGGCTACATTTATCAAACAAATTGCTTCTTTAGTGTTAGCAATAAATAGGAACAACAGATTTTTGAAATTATGGTTTAGACAAAAATATTACCCTTTTATTAAACAATACATTTTAGTAAAAATACATATGGGTGATTCTACAAAAGTTGGACAACTTGATGTCATCAGTCAATAGAGTAGGTATTTTAATATTTTTTGTAAATATTTTAGTATATTACAAAAGATCCAGGTTTTTTTAATATGCCCACCCAATTTTAATGTATTTTTTCAAAAGCACGTTGGTAGAAAAACATAATAAATATTCAAAACATCAGTACCTTGGCGTGTCAACTCCTGAATCAAATATTTGGGTGAATATATTTTAAAATATATTCAATTTATCTTAAATTTTTCAATATCACTACAAACTATAAAACATTAAATAATGTATTCTTCATATTTTATCATAGATTCGAATAATACCAATTTTTAAAAAATTGATAATCTTTGTACTCACTTTTACCCGTCAGTTCTATGTCCAATGTTAAAATTCAAAATTCCTGCGAAATATTGAAGTTTAACTCAAGTGTTGGTAAAAAATTAGCCCGCCCTTTGAACGACATTCATCTTGAAAACAATTCAACCGGCGAAGTTGTGGTGAATGCACGTATAGTACCAGTCAAAAGTACTGTGGTGAGTAGTTATTTTCTTACGTATATGGGCATTCCACGCCAAATTGGATTGTTTAAAAAAAAAATTTTTTTGATTCCTCCAATTTTTTTACATTTTTTAGGACTCCTTGAAAGAGCTTAATCAGTAAATTTTGAGATTTTTTTGATCACGGGTTCAAAAGATATAAAATTTTCATAAAACTGTTTTTTTTTGTTTTTCGCTCATAACTTCTTAAAAAAATATGTTGAGAAAATTTGAAGCGTTTACATTCAAGATTTTTAAGTTTTAAAGTTTAAATCGTGTTTTTAAAAATGTGTTTTCGCGAAATTTTTATTTTCAACTTCTATCTATTCAACGTGGTCCGGTAGTGGGCCTTCCATAAACACTATTTTTTTAGATTTTTCAAATTAAAAAAAAAATTCTCTAAAAATTATTATAAGTTTCGAAAAAAATAGTAATTACTACCGGACCAGGCTGAATAGTTGTTAAATAGATAGAAGTTGAAAAGAAGACACACATTTTTAAAAACACGATTTAAACTTTAAAACTCAAAAATCTTGACTTAAAACGCTTAAAATATTTTCAATATATTTTTTTTCGAAAAGTACATTTAAAAACGAAAATTTTATATCCAAAATCCACCAGCCGCCACTGATGTGTGGTATTATTTGATTTTAAGATATTTAATGTATAATATGCTCAAAGTTGCAATAAATCTTATATTTTCCAATAAATTATGTATTTAATTAGTACCTTGGTATACTCCTCAATTCCCTTGCATTCAAATTTAGAAAACACCTATATTTCAGAAACTGTTTGAAAAAGTGACTGGCCCGGTCTGGAACAGTATATTTATTATTTTATCTACATATGTTCTCATAACAAAATACTGTTTAATTTTCTCCGAAAACTATATAAACAAAATGAGGTCAAAAGTTGCCCAACTTTTGTAGAATCACCCTTTACCCTTTATAAAATATCTATTATTAATTTTAAATAACATAACAATGGATTCTATTTGTTTATTAAAAAAAAATAGGAAAATGTGCTAGTTTGAGAATTCTGCAAATAAATCTCTTTCTACAATACTCATTTTAAAATGGTAAAAAACATCATAACAGTTAAGGTTATCCATTATTTTGATGGCATAAATTTGGCGTAGCAAAACAAACATTTGTAATACTTTAAAACAATAAAATTACCAAGTAAATATAATTTTGGCAGAAGATTCCATTAGAAATAATCCTCTAGTTGCTTTGCAAAGCTTTGTTTGTTTATTTTCATTTTAGTTTCGCGCATTAAGACTTAACGCTACTAAGTGCACTTTGATTTTTGCATGAGTTGGTTTAGAAAAAAATTACAATCTTGGATTTCATTTAATTAATTAAAAATTAAAAACGACGTAAGGCCGATATTAGGCACAACATTGAAAGTGTCAATTTGAATGTCCAATGCTTTTATCAAGAAAATGGGCTTTGATAGCTATTGCTAACGGTTAACAATTGTTTATTTTTAAAATTCGTTAAAATAACGTGATGGACATTCAAGAAGATATTAAAGATTCGTTCTGAAGCGCCGCATTAACTTCAAAAGATCAGGAAAAAGGTACGTGATATTAATAAAAAAAGTACATCAAATCAATAAACGACAACATTAATTTTCAGCCGATGACGGGTGTTGTTAATACAATGAACAGTCGTTCGTAAATTTTCTTATTAAGTTACGATTGCTGTACGTCAAATTGATGAATAATAAGCATCCCCGAACAAAAAGGTATAAGTTTATAATTTACTTAAATTTACATAAAATCCAAGACGAACCCAATTAAAATTATTCCTCAAATTTACTTAGCTTTTTATTTAAAATAAAGTTAATATTTAAAATAAAGATTTACTGGCTACGTGGGTACATTTTGTTTTAGCAACATAGAAATAAGAAAAAATATCTTATACAAATTACCAAGAAATCAATCACAAAAGAGGTTTCTTTAAAATAAAGACGTTTTTGGTAAATACATTTTTTTATTGCAAGAGAAATTTACAAATACAATGAACCTTTGGGCTCTCAAGAGGTTTACAAAATGCTCTTTCTAAAAAGTTTCAAAATATTATGCTTCACAGTAAAAGTCAAGATTAAATATATAAATAATTTTTTCTACTCCCACC